AATAGTCACGTGATCATAAAATTATTTAATCTCAAAAAATTGCCCGACGTGGTTCTATATATGTGTGAAGTTTCAATATTGTCACCCCAACAGTTCCAGAGGAATCGACCAAGAAACACAACCGGAACTTTTTGAACAGCCTTATACATATAATACATACAATAAATTTGTCTTGTATAATCCTATCCCTCATTGTCATCTTTAATTAATCATAATAATTTAAAAATACGAATAATTATACATTAGTTAAAAAGTTAAGTTAAATATAGCGCGTCAACAAATATTATAAATGTTGTATTACTTGACATTTAAATCTAATTAATTGTTATTTAAATGTACCGCAAAATTACGCCAATATCTGACGGAATAATGTTCACATATTTTATCCTTTTTTTATACATTAATGGCAAGATACGAACGAAAATGTGTGAAAACGCATTGATAATATAGATTAGATTCGCCAAATTAACTGTTCAAATTAAATCACTCGTATTTATTACAAAATATGATCAATTAAACAACAAAGATCACACAGCGATATTTTACGTTAACCATTATTTGGGTATTGCATAAAGAATACATTAGCATTATCTACACATTTAATAAGGGTCCATTGGATTAGCATTGTCTATAGGCTTAACATTAGTCCATAGAATTAGCATTAGTCCCATTGTGTTATCATTACCCATAGACTTAGCATTGCCGTAGATTTAGCATTACAACTGTTAAAGTATAGTCATAGACTTAAGCTGTCAGGACTCAAATTTTGGGATAACTGTAAATAGTCCCGGTCTTCATACGTAAGCACCGATTAGTGTATACAATCGGTGAACTTTTGGTTCAGCTCATGTAAGGCACTCGATATAAACTTTATATTTGGAGACCAACTTTTGTCGTTCGTAAACCCTAGCCTTATCGTCCTGAAAATACGAATCTTTGAGATTCGGTTGTGATTAAACTGATTTATATCATTTAAATTACTGCTTCATTCGGCGCCTCTTTCCATTAATCGTAATAGACGGTAGAGCAGAGGTCTTGTCCACTTGTAGTCTAAATGATTTGAATTTCATTTAAATGTTGGCGCCTGTGCGTTCACCGCTTAGCACGTTCATCAACGAGTATTTTTCTACAACTTTATGTTTCGCAACAAAATATGCTGTAAATCCGAGCGCCGTTTGAGCTCTTGTTTATTTTAAATCAAAGGTATTTATTTAAATATTTTTTATAATAAAACACTGATCATAACATTACAAATTATATTAAATTACATTTACAATTAGATCTTAGACAATACAATAACACAATATTTTGATGCCTTTATAATACAGGGTGGATTTTAAGTATGTCTTTTTTTTTAAAAGCTAATAGCTCGTTAACTAGAAGAGATATTTCATTTAAATTTTTTGCATAATATACACAACAGTATGCGATGATTGAATCAGGTTTTCAAAAATTTCGATATCCATGGGAATCACGTGGAATACCAGGGTTTCAAATGTCACTTTTCGGGCAATTATGTCATATTTTAGAGATCGCCATTACTATGGATGAAAACAAATTAAGCACACATCCCATACTTACATTTAAATAGTTTAGCAAAGTATTTTCCATTTTGAGTTAATTATTTAGAAATGGAGTGATTTTTAAAAACAAGACAGAATAAAAGTCGCATTGTTTTCTGAAAATCGCGACAGTTGCAAATTATTAACTCAAAATGGAAAACATTTTGCTAAACTATTTAAGTGGATGTATGGGATGTGTGCTTATTTTGTTTTCATTATATAACATGTTTTCATCCATTGTAATGGCGATCTCTAAAACATGATTTAATTGTCCGAAAAATGGCATTTTTAAAAACCCTGGTATTCCACGTGATTCCCATGGATGTCGAAAATTTTAAAAACCTGATTCAATCATCGCATACTTTTGTGTATATTATGCAAAAAATTTGAATAAAATATCTCTTCTAGTTAACGAGCTATTAGCTTTTAAAAAAAGACATACTTAAAAACCACCCTGTATAAGTGCTGATAATCGTACTGAGTTAGAATTTTAAAATTGTATCTAGTTTACTAGTGAACATTAAATTAGTCAAGTACCCTAATATGAAACCGACTGTATATCTAAATCTAAAATTTATTGTAAAAATAGCATAATTAAATAAAAATTTATTAAGTAATATTACACTACAAATTACGGTTATTCCGTAACAAAAAGTTAATCTACAGATTTACTTTAAAAATATTACAATAAAATTCTTGTTACAAATTTTGAGAGGCCCATATAAATTAAATAATAAAATTTATTTTTTGTATCCCCAGACAACGTGCGGTCCAAAGAGTGGCCAACTTATAAACTCCGGTGATTTCATATATGCCTTAATCGGCGGTAAACTCTCAAAACGAGTCAACAATTGAACCAAATTCTGGTACTTATCGACGGTTTCGGGACTGAAAAGACGCAACCAATCGAGTCGTTCGTACGCTAAGAAGTCTACATAATTTATATTATTACAGGTAAACCACTGACGGGTACCCAAAAACCGTGACAAACCGTCCAACTGTTTGGGTAGAGTTTTTGCGATATATTTGACTTTGTTGCTTTCGAAGTGATCACCTACTACTACGGCGATAAGCTCATTTCTAACATCAATCAAATGTTGTTCCAACACATCCTGGCGTACGAGTCCTGCCTCGTCGGTGGCAATCAGTCCGTGTATTCTCGCCAAGTATCGCATAATGGCTAAACTCTGGGTTATTTTTATGGAACCATCCATGTAATATGGTATGTTGGGAAAATCAAAGCCCAATGTAAATTTTTCTTTTAACCAGTTACCTCTATATAAATCCAAATCACCGCCAAATTTGCCGTAGTATTTGTCGGTGAAATTCACGTCTTTATACTTCAACAACAATCGTATGGGTTGAGCCGCGCCCCGAATATTATAATAACCTAATGTAGGAACAGCTGTTATGTCCATATTGTTTAAGTTTATATATTAAAGATGCTTTTATTAATTAAATAATCAACAAACAATTAACTTATAATTAAGTTATTTTTACTATATGATTCACTTGTTATTATATATACGATTTGTTGGCAGCTTTATGTGGTTTGTAATGAACAATATACAAACTTAATTTGTTGTCTTGATAAAAAAAATCTTGAAGTAAATTATTAAATAACACGCACACAGAAGTATTTAACAAATTCATGCAACTAAATGTACTTTAACGGCTATCACGAAAGTTCTATTAATAGAGCTTTAAGAAAGCAAGAATCACACAGCGATGCTATACGTTAACCACAATTCGGGTATTACTCATACGCAGCGATGCTATACGTTAACCACAATTCGGGTATTACTCATACGCAGCAATGCAATACCTTAACCACAAAAGATATGAAAGAATAAAACAATTTAATAATTTTTTAATGGTTATTGTTAGGATGATTTAAATATTGCTATTTTGACAATTTAATGAATTATAAACAACAATTATTTTATTTAAATTATCAAGTTCAATAGACCAATTTAATTCAGATTAGTCCGTTAAATTATAATGATGTTCGTTGAAAAAATTTCAGTCCCATAGGTTAACATATTGACGTAGTTTGTTAGCCTGCCATTTGAAAATGTATAATCAGACGATTGTTGTTTTAAATGTGTTAAACATTTTGATATCTCTTCTATCCAACCTTAAGCCCCACCCTCCCTCCTATAATCACTGTAGGTTTACACCATTGGTTTTGCAAATAATCCATTTTCACAATGATATATAATCACGTGACCAAAATTATTGTTATGTGGAAACAATTTCCGGCTATTGATCTATATATGAATGATAATATTGTTACTTTAGCTTTTCCAAAATGGTGACAAATAACGACACGCAAAGATTTGTATGGACCTTATATATAAACATTCTAAATAAGAAAGTTTTATTCAAATAATTAAAGTGTGCATTTTTTTTTATGAATTAATAAAGTTATCTGTATATCAAGTGCCATGTTAATCTTTTATAGAAGCGGTCGGTGAGGCAAAAACATAGCTCAACGCTTTAAATCGAATTATCCTTATATGGACTCTCCCTAAATTTATGATTTTAAAGTCGAATAGTTCATAATCTATTACAACTACTTAGAAATAGATTGAAAAATTTTCGATGTAACGATGTAAAAACAATTAAGAAATTAATAGGAAAATCGCAAAATATGTGCCACAAACGGGTCCCTAATGGCGACCATTGTTACTCTCATCGCCTAAACCTCGGTTATAAGCCCAAGACTAATATTTCAATAGTTAGAAATTAAAATTAAATAATTGTAACTACACACTTATTATCCAGAAAGTTGATCATAATGTTGTAACATGGACCTGTTTTGGGGGTTCAAGTGGGGTTGCCAACTGGTCAAGGTTTGCCTTGATTTGCAATGTGAGAGAGTTCTGGTCAAAGTGAAAAGCAAGAGTCTCATTTTGACATAGACAAGTCAAGGTGAGAGCAAATGTAATTACCGTATGTCTATTTTAGGTATTTATTGTAATGAACCAACTATTAAAAACTTAGAATATATTTATTGCCTATTTGTATAATAGCAAAACAAATTCTTTAATAAAAACCTTTCATACGAAAGACTTTTGTCTTCAAAATGCCCGTATTTTATATGGAAAATTCACTGTAGTAAAATAAAACTAAATTAAATTAAAACTTAAATTTACATTTTGCTCCTATTTCAAAAATAATTATGACCAAATATGCAATAATAATAGAGGTCAAGGTTTTGTCAAGGTGAATTTAGAAGAATTTTGTATTTTTCAAGGCGGTAGTCGATCAGAGTTGGCAACACTAGGTTCAAGACATAGCGGGGGTGAGGTTGAGTAGCCTCAAGGGATTAGGAGATTATTTAGCGCTCAGTCGTCGGCGGTTAACCCACCGACAGAGGCCTGAAGGCGCGTCTGGCATTGGCGTTAGTCGCCGGATGTCTGGCAAATGGTTGGGTCCAGGGCCGTCCATCGTTTTCGGTTGACAATGGGCACTAGAGCACCTAGGAGAGGGAACCAAAACCCTGTTGTCATCGCGGCTAACGGCTCGCGAACACTAATGGACTTGGCTGTTAGGCGGTTACCGATTCAGACCCTAAGCTAAGGTTTTGGTCTCGCCGGTTAAACGATAAGTGGGTTAGAACCACCCGTTAGGGCTTCGCGGCCGCACAGTCGTCCACACGACAAGACATCCACCCTCACTACGAGTGCTTCGTCGGCACTCGACAGCTACATCAAACTAACTAACCGATTGCTACATAGAGGCAAAGGGCGAGAATGGTAAAGAGGGCGATAACGGGCTTGTAAGGCGAGTATGAAAATCTTATGAGACTTACGGTAGAGGTTGTGCTGTTGATGGTAAGCTGTTGCCAATGAAAAGAGTCGTCGCCCAAGAGAAGAGTCGTCGCCAAAGAGAAGAGTCGCCGCCAATAGGTAGAGTCGTCGCCGCCTGGATGGAGGAGCCAAAGGTGAGTCCACTAGTTCGCGTTGAATTACTTATCAACTGCCTTAATAGTGTTAATGTTATGGTGATTACAATACAATTCATTATTATATTCTTTGTGTCACAAGCTTAATTATTTTATTTAAAATTGAAATTAATGTTTTTAACTAACATATGAATAACATGTATGCTTTTACATTAATGAGCATTATTAATAATAAACCAAATGCCAAACAATGTGAAGTTTTTATTATAGATTTTATGATAATTCATTTGTGCGTTTCACATTAAAAACAACACACTATTAACGAAGTTACACATGAATAAATCTGTTACTATATTTTATATATAGAAAATTGCACAAAAATGATTCAGCCCTATTAATATTATTTTTTAAATGTTTATTATCTATGCTACATTTAAATGTATGATTTTTTAAAAATATAAATTTATAATTATATACCGTATTTTATACGAAGTAATCATTTTAATAACTTCTTAAAATTTATTCTTTAGATGAATTGTGTTAATCAATCATGTAATAAATATTTTTAGCTCATTTACAATAATTACAATAATTAAACGCAAATATATTATCTTTTATATACTTAGAAAGTATAAATAGATGCGAATTTAAACATTCACTTATTAAAATGTTTTTCTCAATGTATTAATTACAGAATATAACGCTAAAAATGTCTTCAATTGCAAACGATATCGTATTGTCTGGAATGAGCGGTCGGTTTCCCCTCTCAGATACTACCGATCAGTTTGCAAAAAATCTTTTTGGTGGCATAGATATGATAACTGACGACAACAAACGATGGCCTAAAGGTTTGTAGACATAAAAATATTACGGAATATAGATTTATTTTATGGTATATAGAGATTCTGCCATTATTATGGGCAATAACGCTAACAATGGTTAACTCAGATTGCTCTTATAAATATTATATTAAACCGTATATTTTATTAATATTTTAAAATAACATTATATAGATATCAGACCGTTTGATAAATTACCGAAATTTTACAATCATGCTTTTTATAATATCTGCCAAATCAGTTTAGTAATAACCAACAAATCTTTATAATTATAGATTGATTCATCTATTGGATTAAATGGAAACCTAATTCCTTGAAGGTGAAGGCGTGTAGCTAGAATTCTGAAATTAGTTGACATTCTTAGGCACCAGAATCCAAGTTTATCAAGATTGGATGAATAGTTTATGAACAGGATTTTTTCAAAGTTTGTCAGTCGATTTAATATATTCCTATGGGAAGGGGTTTGTTTTTGTATTGACCGATGGTTGAAATCATAGTTAACTTGATCATGCTCAAATACTAATAGAGTTAATTTAAAACCCTTCTTCTTCTGAGACATTTGTTATTCAATGTATATAACAGTATACTATTCATTGACCAACACTGACCGCTACCCCAACTGTGGCCACACAAAAATCGGTGATTAACCCGATTGGCGGCCTGTGTTCGGTCGGCTCGCAATTGATTCCCGTTATATTTAATGTTATGATATCTACACTAAACTATTGTCTGATAACTAATAATGAATACCAATAAACAAATAATCACTTCAAACACATCTTTGGTAAAAATATTTTTACTTGAAAATGAGATAATTTTTAGTCAAATATTTTCTTGTTAATTTTTCAAAATATTGCCGACCGACAAACTTTGACAAAATCCTGTTCTTAAAGTATTCATCCGATCTTAATTAAACTTGGATTCTGGTGCCTAAGAATGTCAACCTAAATTATGAAACTAATTTCAGAACTACACGCCTTTACCGTCAAGGAACTAGGTTTCCATTTAATCCAATATTTCTTACTTTATTATACATACAAAAACTATTAAATTTATTTAAAGAAGTTGTGAATTCACTAAAAAGAATCTATAGCAAACATATTAGAATTTTAACCTATTGTAGATGTAACCTAAATGAGCTGGTTATGGGTTCATATAAAGTTAAATAACATATAAATCTTAATCGTTGTATTTCCAAATAAAATCATGTGCTCAAAAACGTTATATCGGTTATTCTGACCTCACAGACTGTACCTGAACAATCTGACCTAAAGGACTGAGAAATAGTGTGGCAAATGACCGAGCTAGACCAAAATTTTAATATATTAAAAAGTTTTTAAACAAAAACTACTGTATGGTGATTAGTTATACCTATATACCAATATGGGTATTTATTTAAGGAATAAATGAAACATTACTGTAATAATGATCGATGGTTGCTAATAATAATGCCTATCACAGAATTTGAATTATTTTTACTTTTCAATAAAAATGAATTTTCAATTGTTCATCATAAATTACAGTTTAATTTCGTAATAGGAAATATTAATATAAAGCAATATATAATTAAAGTAGAATCTTTTAAGTTTATAAGAGTTTAATATGGTCAAACAAGGTTTACACGGCGATGCTATGAGCTAACCACGATTCGGGTGATGCTCATATAATAGATTAACATTATCTATACATTTGATAAAAGTCGATTGGATTAGCACATTAAATCGACTTAGCATTGTCCATAAAATCTTACAAATTACATTCTTCATATATGAATCGTGGTTAAAAATATAATTGAAATAAAATTCATACTGCAATATCGCAATGACGTCATAAACTTTGCAATAAACAATGTTATTATGTATAGAAATGTGGTTTAATATTTAATTAATAGACAATTCGTGCATGATGAATTTGAATTAAACGATATTGACGATATTCTTTCTTAATCATAATTAAATTATTATATATTACTTATGTCAGTCATTTATTTAGGAATCTATGATATGTCGCAACGAATGGGCCGAATCAATAACTACCAGCATTTCGATAAAGGATTCTTTGGTTTAATGGATCAATTAGTAGAAAGTACTAAGCCTGAGTCATTTATTCTTCTGGAGGTGTCCTATGAGGCAATTTTGGACTCAGGTTTGCCATAAATTTGCCTTAATTCGCCCAAATGCAATAACCCAAAATATAGTTGCCGTGAATTATGAACTTTCATTTTATTTTAGGCGTTAACCCACAGTCATTGCGGGGTTCAAATACCGGTGTATACATTGGACTTACTACATATCCACATTCCGACGGTTATTCACCGGACGTGCAACCGGATGTGAGCGGATCCATACATAATGTCATATTTAAAACTGTGTACAATATGAAAAATCTTTACGCAAGCCGAATATCATTCGCCAACGATTTCAAGGGTCCTTCACTAGTAGTGGACACCGCATGTTCTTCCAGTCTATCAGCGTTAACTTTGGCTTGCAATGACATATTATTAGGTTAGTTAATATTTATTGCATTGTTATTATCTATTATTATTACTATTAGATTATAATGAAATTAATACGACTAATCAAAATAACATATCCCCTCTATTTGTATTAAATTCTTTAATTAACATTTATTAAAAGACCATGTCAATAGTAAACTATTGTGTAAAAATATTGCTAAAATTAATAAATTTACACTAGAACTCCCACATCCTTTTGCCTACATTATTTTTTCTAACCACAAATTAATAGTAAAATCCATATGATTTCCTAATACACTTTCACTCTGTTACATTATATATAATATTAATTCAGAGGTTGACATTAACATTACGTGACAAAAAACTTTTATTAAATTGAAATCACAATATCGTCATCGATATATAAACACTCCATTTGACATTTATATTACCGAATCATGATTAAGTTCACAATTTAACACAGTTTTATGTCCAATTCTATATCATTTTTTTATTATTTTGACATTTAAAATCACAATCCACCAATGAATAATGTGGTTTATATGACCTAAAGTTTGGTTAACGTATAGCATCGCTGTGTTTAACAATGCATTAAATTAAAATATTTCCACAGGTAAAGCCGATGCAGCAATCGTTTGTGGCACTCATATGTTATTTGAGCCATTAATCAGTCAATATCTGTATGAGTTTGGAGTATGTTCTCCGAGAGGAGTGTCCGCAGTGTTTGATGAGTCGGCGGACGGTTTTGTCAGGTCTGAGGCCGTCGTAGCTGTGTTTCTACAGCGCCGACAGGACTCACACCGTATGTACGCTCAAATTGTGTCTTCGCGTATGAATGTTGACGGAAGGAAAACTGTTGGAATGCTATACCCTTCGGCCGACTCTCAGGAGCAACTCATGAGGGAAACGTATACTTTAAGTAATATTGATCCTAAAAGGCTAACCTATTTTGAAGCCCATGCAACTGGAACCAAGGTAGATTATGCATACTTATTTTTCTTACATTGTGAAAAATTCTATTAAAAATACATATAACTGATAGTTGAGTTAGTTGGAAAAACTTTTATAATTTTTGACTTGGTGATATAAAAACTGTTTTATCACTAATCAAACTTTGTTAGTGTTTTTGAATGAATTTAGTTAACGTACTCGTTATAAAATTTTCAGGTAAAATATAATTTAAATAACTTAGCAATTATTTGCGGACACTCGCGGCCATAATGTTAACAATATCATTTCTTTATGGGAAATGAGAGCAAAATACCTTGTCATGAATTGAAATTTATGTTATTGTTGTTAACACTACGACTGCGAGTGTACTCAAATAATTACTAACAGCTGGTCAGAAAATCAACTAAACTTAATTTAAATTACAACTATTTGTGATTAATTCAATTATAGTTATTCAAATTATATTGCAAACTGTATTTCTTAGGCAAACTAACTTTAAAACAATTAATATTTTTGATGATATCTTAATATTGTTAACAATATATTATATACATTCCAAATTCTCTATAATAAATATAGAAATGTCTAAGTTTATTAATATTTGAAAGTTTTTAATAATAATAATAATAGCAATCTTGTAAAATAATGTGTAATTTTAGTTTGTTTAGTTGTATTAACATAACAATTGAATTTTTACGTTTTGAATTACATTTTTCCAATTCGTATTTCTTATCAATTAACACTTTTTGTGATTACTTGGTTGTGTTTAATTATAATATCTTCATATTTGACTTAATTTATAATTACATAACTTGATAGGTTGGGGATCCACAAGAGGTAAAAGCTATATACAACGCTTACTGCGCAACCAGAACAACACCATTGCCTTTGGGTGCCGTGAAGAGCAATATTGGCCATTCAGAGGGAAGTTCTGGTTTATCATCGCTTATAAAAGTGTTGGTAGCATATGAGAATCAATGCATTCCACCAAACCTTAATTTAAAGCAACTGAAAAAAGAACTAAAAAGATATTTCCCACCCCTTATGGCCATAAATGAAAAATATGAATATATACCTGGTAATTAAATATTACTGTAGCTATATATAGTTAGAATTAATTTTGAATTAATGCAAATAAATTTCATTTAATTAATTAAAAGCTAAATTAGTGTTAAATTGTTTATAGAATATATTAAAAACTTTATTAAAGGTGTATATACACATATTACTCAAAAGTATATACCATATTATTTAGTTAATATGCGCTCACTAAATTATATAAAACAAATTTTAAATGAAATAGGTTTGGCAGCAGTGAACAATTTCGGAATAGGAGGAACTAATGCGCACGTATTGCTTGAACCGAACTATAAAGTGGAAACTAGTAATAGCTTTCTAATCGCCGAAAACATTCCCAGAATTGTTAACATTTGCGGCCGAACTGAAGAAGCGGTCAAATATGTGATGGATTTTATACAAAACAACCCAAAGAGAGTGACGAATGACTTTTTGGCACTATTGGCCCCAGTTATGAGATTTGTACCATGTATTAATTCAGGGGGAATGCCGTACAGGGGTAAGTCCAATTACAGTTTTTTTTACTAGTTTTTAATACACTTTATTATCAACATTTAATAACTAATCAGACATAAACAAACTTTGACTAATTAATCTTAAGCATTTTTGGGTACATTCCTATATTTTCAAAAAAAATTTATAGTCAACTAATGTATCTATAAATGCTAATTAATTCAAAATATTTTGCGCCATCTTAAATATTGTTTAAAAAATTATTCAAAAATTAATTTAAATTTAATTAATTGAATATATTCATCAACATCTCAAGTTTAACAAACTATTTTGGAGATGTGAATGCGTTACTAGATTGACTAATCATCGTTTGACTACGTTTTAATTATTAATCACTATTTATCTATAAAAATGTGTTTAAGAAATTAGTAACAAATTTATTTAAATTAAATAAACTGAGTAGGTTTAACAAAATCTACTGATCTAATATGTTTAACTATATTGAGATACACGTGATCAGTTAGTAAAAAGTATTTATATGCATCAACTGGTCATTGTTTGACCACATTGAATCTTATTTTTCTTGTTTTCAAAAAGATAATATATCTTTCTTCTAAAAATATTTTTGGTCAATATATTCGACCTGAGAGGGAAATGTCTAACATTACTTATAGCAAACAAATTACAATCACAGATTCATAATTATAAGTAAAAATTAGATATATCGGGATTTTTTTGAAAACTTTTTATGTCTATGGAAAAATTTTTAATTTTTAGTTTTGTCGCGATTATCGCGAATACTTTTCGTTATATTTGAGTTTACTTTTTGTATGATCTATTTATATATGCCCTGTATATACATTGCCTTGTAATCGGTTTACAACATATTATGTTATATACAAGCTTGTGAATTTTGCTCAAAATGAAAGAAAACTTCATGGAGAAGTTGAATTTTAAGGTAAAACAAACTTTAATTAGGAGACTATATCCAAGCAAATATAAACATGTGATTATCACAAAACACTATTATTTGTATTCAAAATACAAACTCTTCGTTGCATTTGATTTATTTAACATTTTAATCAACGAAACACTCATTAAATTTTGCAAATTTTGTGTAAAACATTTGTGACATTTATTGATATTACAATACATCTTACTTAAATTAACGCTATTTGTTAAAACATTGTATACATTATATTATAATTATTAAAATATCATATAAATTGTTGTATTTCTAAGTAAATTAATTTATATGTTGTTTTAAATTGTCATTTATAAAATATCATTTTTAAAAAAATGAATTATGATGTGAAACGTGTTTCATGATCTTTTTTATAAACAAGTTGAATGTAAATATTCTGCTTTAAAATTATCAAATGTAAACAAATGCAACTGATTGCAATTAAAATCTTCATGTTTAATTTTAACAATTAGTTTATCAAAGTGTTTAACATTAATTATTAAAGAACACACTTTGTTAAATTTACAATATTAAAATTTTTCACTGCACTAATTATAGAGCTAGTTGTTCGATTAATAGATAATTTTGTTAAAAAATCAAAAATATAAAGAATTATTTTATTTGTATGTTTTAGTTAGGAAAAATTTGATACAGTGATTATTAAAAGTAAATATGTAGATTTTAAATGAAAAGCAGTGCCATATGTGTAAATTTGATTACTTTACTTGTTATCCATATTTATATATTTATTACTTTATTACTTTATTACTATTTTTAACCACTATTCTAATATGAATAATTTGGTTTATATGATCGTTCGGCTTAGTTATACTTATACTATAACAGTATTCCTGATTTTCAATACGATAAATTTTATCCCACAAATTTTTTTTTGAATTTATTCAACCAAAGAGGGAAATGCCTAACATTAAACATAATATAAAATTTATTTAAAATTATACTAAATTACATTTTAGGTTCATTGATAATAAAAAAATTTTTGGACGAAAACAATGAAATCAATTATAACTACACGAGAAAATTAGGAACAATTAATGACCAAACAGTTAAACCTTTATGGTTAGTATTCCCGGGTTTGGGCGGTCAGTGGCCGGCAATGGCTAAGGCTTTGATGACAAT